CAATTTTTATCTTCTATTTATTCTTTCAAACATTTTTTTTGTCTACTCAAAGTATTAACAAATAATTAAACTCGTAGCAATCTTTACCTATCCTTGATGTACCATGGCGCACGTCGAGTTGGCATAGTTGTGTATGGTACCCATCTAGTTTGAGTTGGAGTTACAGTGTTCCAGCTGAATGGTGGACGTACAGATGTTGCTGAAACGATGTAGGGTTTAGCATCATAAGAGACCCTGGACTTTGTCGTAGAAGTAAATGATAATTGAAGCTTCAAACTGCTGACCAGTGCTTCCTCTACTTGATGGTACAGATCCAGGACGACTACGAAGATCTTGACAACAAATTGATCTGCCGAGTACAAAACTTTGATCACAGAGGAATCCCACTGGGCAGTCACCAACCGAAGATGGTTTACAGTAAGCATATTCACCGGAGAGTATTAGTGGATCAGCACCAAATGGACATACTGAAATTTAAGTTATAAAATACTGTTTGTGGTATATACACGGCTTATCTGTTAAAGTTCCCAGTTATCACTTTGTTCTAAAAAATAATTATTTTAGATTAATAGTACGTAATAAGTAGATCTAAAATACCGTCTTCATTCTTTTGAACAGTTCAGATTAGGTCGTAGAAATTTTGTGATGTTGACATTAATGGAGTGAAAATGTCAGTCCCATTGTTCGATGGGCAATCTAGCGTAACAGAGCTCCTCTCAATCTAATAATTTTGTTGAAATGAGAGTAGCTCCTATTCTGTTATGTAGCTGCTATCTCACAAAACAAATAATCGGAGACTACGGAAATTAAGTGTGAATTGCCACTTGATAGTTTAGGTTCGCAACAGCTAACCTCCTCTTCAACAAATCTTTTCTCTAATACTACAAAACTTTTTCCAAAAATGTTTTCAAAATTTTTTCACCAAAAAATTAAGCTGATGATAAGATAACTGTTATTTTGTTGAGGATTAATATTTTTTTCTTTATTATTTGTTTGCTACATTTTATTTTCGTAGCTTTTAAAGGTTATTATAAAACAAGAAAGAAGGAAAGCAAAGAAGAAGAAAAAAATACAAAGAACAAAATGATACGAAAAAAAACGTCCAAAATTTCTATAGTATTATCGCATTTATAACTGCTTTTCTTGTTTGATAATCATGCTTAAAACTGTCATCTAACGACAACAGAAATCTTTTTTTTCAATAAATAGCGCCGAATTTATTGTTTTCCTAAACCGATTTTCGCAACTTTTGCAGATCAATCTATCAAAGCAAAAATAAAAACAAAAGCAAAAAAAAAAAAAAAAAAA